AAGTAGATTGTTGAGAAGTAGATTGTTGAGAAGTAGATTGTTGAGAAGTAGATTGTTGAGAAGTAGATTGTTGAGAAATAGATTGTTGTAAAGTAGATTGTTGATGCGAGAAAACTTGGTACAAAGATTCTAAAGAAGATTGAGTTGAAGTAGATTCTTGAGACATATTGAAAGCAAAAAATTTATCAAAAAAAAATTAGATTTAAAAATCAAATTTTATTTAAAAATAAAAATACATATTATTATTAAATTTTAAGTTTTAAATTTATAATAAATATACCTGTAATTTATTAATAATTTCAATTTTCTCAGATTTATATTTTGACATAATTTTATTTTTAACTGTAGTTCCAGATATAAGTTTTGCTTCTTTACTTAAATATTCAATAATTCTTTTAAAACTAAGTTTTTCAACAACTCTAAATGATTGATCATCATCAACTATCCAATCAGTAATTAGATTAATAACCTCTGCTTATACAAATTTCTATAAATAAATAAATATAAATTATTAATATTTATATTATATAATTTTTTAAAAAAAATTAATAATTTAAAATTTGAAATAAAATGATTTAAATTTAATAAAATAATTAAAAAAAATATAATATTAAATTAAATTACTTTTTTTCTGTTTTATTTTCTAATTCATTTAAGTCAATTTGATGTTTATTTTTAAGATGTGATCGCATTGTTCCAGTAGATTTATTTTTTGATTTAATATAATTAGTTCTAAAAAAATTAATATATTAGTTTAAAATTTTAAATAATAAAATTAAAAAATAAAACTTATAAGCATAGTTTGCATTTAAATTTATTAGTATCTTTATTAAAAGTATAAAATTTATAAACAATAGATAAATCCTCTGATTTATTAAATTTTTCAATAATAGTATCATCAAATGTAAAATCATCAAACATATTAATGATAGATTGTTAGGAATCTTGATGATTAAGTTGTGGAAAAATTTGTGAAATAGAAGATGAAATAGAAGATTGTAAAGATTGTTGAAAAGAAAATTGTTGAGAAGAAGATTGCATAGATTGTTGAGAAGTAGATTGAGGAGTAGATTGAGGAGTAGATTGTTAAAAACTAAATTGTTGAGGAGTAGATTGTTGAAAAGTAAATTGCTGAGAAGTGGATTGTTGAGAAATATATTGTTGAGAAGTAGATTGTTGAGAAGTAGATTGTTGAGAAGTAGATTGTTGAGAAGTAGATTGTTGAGAAGTAGATTGTTGAGAAGTAGATTGTTGAGAAATAGATTGTTGTAAAGTAGATTGTTGATGCGAGAAAACTTGGTACAAAGATTCTAAAGAAGATTGAGTTGAAGTAGATTCTTGAGACATATTGAAAGCAAAAAATTTATCAAAAAAAAATTAGATTTAAAAATCAAATTTTATTTAAAAATAAATTTATAATAACTATATATATAAATTTTATTAAACTATATAATCAGTATATATAATAGTTTATTAAATTACAAATTCTAAAAATTACACTAAAATAGTACAAGTAGCTTATTATCGGGTAATAATAATTTTTTGTCATTTACGAAAAGTTTTACTAAGTAAATTGACTTACCTTATTAAGTAAAATTTATTCAGGCGATTAAAATGCAGTTATTTTGAAAATTTCATGTAAATAGGAGACCATTTTATTAATTGACTTTTGATTTTTACATTTAACGAATATAAACTTTAAAGAAATTTTTAAATTTTTGTTGAAAAGTAATATGCAAAAGTTAATTAATAAAATGTTCTCTGATTTACATAAAATTTTCAGAATATATGCATTTTGATCTCCGGAATAACTTTCACTTAATAAGGTAGGTCGATTTACTTAGTAATATCTTGATTTTACTATGTAGCAACAATAATCAATTATGAGAGTAGCTTATTTTCAATAATATATTAAATTAAATTCGATTCATAACAGTAGACTAGCTTAGAATATTCTCAAGATTCATATAACATAGTTATTTTAATCTACTCCTGCTCATATTACTGGTGGCTTAACCAAATTATATGTTGACAGTTGAGTTTATTTTACTGATTTGAGCTTAAAGTTAAAGCTTCTTGATAGTTTGTAGCTTGTTAATTAACGAAAAAAAAATTTGTAAAATTAGGCCCAATCTCGCTTAATCCGTACCCTAATTTTAAATCAGGCCCAATCTCTTTCAATTCGGGCCCAATCTGAAATTTCTGGGCCAAAACCAATCCGACGGTTATAATCTGCACTAAATCTGAATCCGATCTGTTCTACATTTTTGGAACACTAGTTATGGGAACACTACCTAAAATTAAAAGATTGCATAATGTCAAAAATTTTTGAGATAGTAGACAGTCAACCAACATAAAACACGAGCATGATTGTCAGGAATTTTTGGATATATGTAATTTGTTCAGTAAAATTACTGAAAAATTACCGAAATTACCGATAGGAGTTCATTCTATAGGATGTTTTTGTGATTTTGATTTAACTAAAAATTTTATTAATATGTTCGGCCCACCCGGTCAACCGGGCCAAATAATTTGTCGGCCGGGTCGGCCCAAGTGTTTGGCATTAGCCTGTATCACTAGTCGGAAGTGAGCGATCAAAACTGAGATTAAGAATAAATTTGATACTAAAAATAGAATTATCGTAAAATTATTTATTATTACCTATTTGCAAAAAAATCAAATAATATTAAGTAATATTAGATAAGAATACGTATTACTTTTGCCCATCCTTAGTAACGACTTTACTTCATTTTCCGATAAATTTATAAATATACAACCAATAACATACTAAATTGTCGCACAGTGTGATTTAACTTTTACGTAATAAGTAAAAAATAAAATAGTCAATTTATAATTTATATATTTTTGCTATTTATAAGATGTAAAAGTTAATCTTTTGTTACTTATTTTATAAAATCTAAAGTTTAAATTGTAGGCTTTTTTCCAGTTTATTTTATAAAACGTATAATTTTGAGAAATTAAAGTGATATTAGATAAATTGGTACAAAAAAATTATTTATGATATGCAATTGTTAGCCGAATTAGGCCGTTTAAAGTTAATTATTAGTTTAACGTCAATATTTTGGGCTCAGGTACGAGGGGGGAGGGGGGAAAATTAAACAAACACATGTATTCCCAAAAATATTTGATCAAATCTCATTGGCCAGCCTTAGTCACATGACTAATGAACTTTATTCTGTGTTGTGATTGGCTGTTTAATTTCCGGGGGGACAGTTAACCGTGAGGGGGGGAATGACGTTTAACTAATAATCAACTTTGAACGGCCTTATGATAATTTTAGAATAATTTAAAAAAATTTGCTTGAATGTATGCCATGTTGTGGCGCAGTAAAAATTCTTCAAAGTTCGTTTATGTTAGGAGGAATATTTATGTTGTAAAATTGTTTAGCGAAAACTTTTTGTTAAAGCACTAAAGGTGGTTTCCTATGCAGATTTTCAATAAATAGACGATTTCTGACAAAACAGACATTTGTTTTGAATCTTCTTGATCATGTTACACCCGATCTTGAAATCTGATTCGTAGTTCAGAACATCTGCGCCACAAACCTGGCACACACATTCAAGGGGTGCATACGTACATAACTACGACAAATATGACAAATTACTTACTTCATAAAAATTACTCGAATCTAACAAAACAAAATATTTAACGTTAAGTGTATTAAAAATTCAATTTATACATATACGTAGTAATATAGTAATATATGTACAGTAGTAATCAAGAATTCACCGTAACTAAATCGGTTTAAAGGTCACGTTTCTAAACATTACAGCAATGGCGATTAAAAAAAAAAACACATTTCATAATAGATATCACAGAATTCATAACCAATCAAAATCGGTTTAAAGACTACATTTCTGAATTTTAATGCATTTATTTAAAATTATGCACGTCACCGCATAATCGAATTATTTCATAATATGAGGTGTTATCAATAGAAACAGCCCATTTTTACAATTTTTTGAAAAATGAGTTTTTATTAGATTCATATAAATTTTGACATGAGCAACATTTTTCAATTATAAATGAAAATTACATGAGGCTTCGTAGGGCCAACACATCACGAGATTACCCGATAGTCACCTGCTACCTTTAGCCAATCAAAATCGTGAAATTTTGTTAATCCCGGATCAGTCCGAAAATCAAAACAAATGATTAAACTCAATTATCTCAAAATAACGTAATGGGCTGTTTCCGATTATTATCGAATTATTTCATTATACTACCATGGATTACGATATATTTCCGTCATACATTGACATTCTCAGGTCCATATGAATAAATCACATTTTCAGTCATTTGGATTCGGATACAACCAATTAAAACCGTTAAAGCGTACGAACTCAGAATTGAATGGTATAGATGGGTAATTATTTTTGAACCCGGACCAATTTTATATTTATGACATCATAACATTTTGGTCTGGATTCAAAAATAATCACCCAGATAGATACAATCAATTAAAAACGTTAAAGCGTACGAACTCAGAATTGAATGGTATAGATAGATACAACCAATTAAAAACGTTAAAGCGTACGAACTCAGAATTGAATGGTATAGATAGATAGATAGATAGATAGATTGATAGATTGATAGATAGATTACCGAGACAATCGAATGTTCTAGATTGTAGATCAGCTGTGCTACTGGATCACATTGATAACGGGTGCCATTATGCGCATAATGGGTATTTTGTTCTTTGTCTATTAAAAAATTATATACGTAAGTAGATACAATTTCTACACATTCACTAAAATTTTCTTGCAATAAATAGTGCCAAACGGTGTCCTTACGTGCTACGGCGAGGCCTATTCGAGTTACTGACAATTTTATTCAACTGATTATCGAAAATTAGCTAATATGAATGATTCGGATGAAATATTTTGGATTGGTTATCGTTATGAGCATGGTATCGGTGTTAAAAAAGACGAGAATAAAGCATTCACTCATTATCAAAAATCTTCAGAGATGAACAATCCTAACGGAATGTATCAAGTTGGCTATTGTTATTATTTAGGAATTGGAGTTGAAATAGATAAGCATAAAGCATTTATGCATTATCTAAAATCAGCTGAGGCTGGGAATCTTTAAAATTGCAGTTTGTTACAGATACGGAATTGGCGTAGAAGAGAATAAGGAAAAATACGGCGATTGGATTGCAAAGTGAGTTGTTTGTAATTTGTTGTTAATATATTTAAATTTTACATTGTAAAATTTGAAATTTAAATGATTTCACAATATAAATTTAATAAATTTAATCTGTTAGAGAGTAAGTATAAGAATCAGTTTTATTAATTATAAAAATATTTTTTTATGCAATGTTCATAAAATTTCTATTAAATGATATAATTTAAGATCGCTTTATTCATGCTAATTTAGTAGGTAATGCGGTGTAAAGAACCTTCAAAAATTTAAGTTTTTAAATAAAATATTCGATTTCATGAATATTTACCATTTAATCGCATTAACTTAGTATGTGAGTATGAGAAATATTTGTTATCTAAATTTAAATTGATTTAAAGCTAAAATAAATATTTAATATTTAATTTCATTATTTACATTAACTTAGTGCGTGAGTATTTATTTAAAAATAAGTTATCCAAGTTCATGAATATTTACCATTTAATTTCATTTATTTGCATTAACTTAGCGCGTGAGTATGAAGGATAGTAATTTATATAAGTATTTAAAGTAAGCTATTCATATTCATGAATCTTTACTGTTTAATTTCATTTAGTCCGTATGTATATGAAAAATTTATTAGTCTAAGTGTTTAAAATAAACTGTTCAAGTTCATGAATATTTACTATTTAATTTTATTTTGTTCGCATTAATTAAGTACGTAAGTATAAAGAAATTTGTTAATTCAAATATTTAAAACATGTTCAAATTCATGAATATTTGCTATTTAACTTTATTTATTCGTATTAATTTTAGTGTGTAAGTATAACGATGATTTTTGAATCTTAGTATTTAACATAAGCTATTCATGTTCATGAATATTTATTTATTTCTTCGTATTAACTTAGTTCGTGAGTATGAAAAACATTTATTAAACCAGATATTTAAAATAAGCCATTCAAATTCATGAACATTAAATATTTCATTTTTATTTATTTCGTTAATTTAGTGAGTAAATATAAATAGTTCTATTAATCTAAGTACAGTCAACGCTCGAAATAGCGAATTTTTGCATAGCGAATATTTCGGAATAACAAAAATTTTTCGCATCATAAATTTGTCAGAACATATAAATTTGTCTTCTGATAACCGAATATTTCTCTATAGCGAAGGCATTATGTCAGAATGTGGACTTCGCTATGTCG